GGATGAGCTTTATGATGTGGTGCGTCGTCTGTTGTCTGTCATTATTTATTTATTCGCTCACCCGGTACAAAATACCACGGTGAGCTTATGTGGAAGTCCATTATCAGTCGTTAACATACCTGTGAATTTAACAGCTTCTNGGGGGGGGGGGGGGGGGGGGGGGGGGGGGGGGGGGGGATAGCATATTTAGACCATGGGGATCGAAATGCTACAAGAGAAGGGCTGATGGAAGAATTACATATTTCAGCCAACATGGGACAGGGTGAAAGATGTGAAACAGGTGAAACTGTCAGGTACGGCGTAGGGTGTAAGATGAGTAACTACCAAGTACTGGCAATTGTCGGTTAAGGGGAATGGATAAAAAATGTGAAATTGTTCGATCAGAGACAGGGTAAAATGTGTGAAAATGTTAGTCAAGGTGCAGGCTACAAAATGGTAATAGCTTTATCAACATCATCTTCACCCACTTTACTGTGCAGGTTGTTACCAAATTGTTATGGTAGTTTTGGACTAAGGGACACAGTGTGGAATTGGCAGATATGGCTTTAACGACATATGTTCAGAAATTACTGGGCAGGTTTCAGAACAAGAATGGTGGCGGCAATTCAATTCAATTTCATCAGCGTAGACTTTACAATTCCTAATCGTTTGTTTGTCTTTCTGACGATTCTAGGGCTAGGTCTTCTCTGATGCAATCAAATGATGCATTTTAAACATTGATTTTGATGTTCAAGTGAACATACTTTTCGGTGAAATAAATACATAATAAATATACTTACGGTGGGATTTCACATTCCTGTAGAAGTCCCTTACATTATTTGTTATGAAAAACGTAATAAAGAGGTAGTAAAACCATTTGAAATGGTCTGCTATATACAGCAGCATTGTTAGACCCCCTAATGCATCAGAGTGTCTCAATGCAATTTGTTTACATAAACATGTGATGCATAAAGGCTACGCTAGGCGCCTTCCATTAAAGCAGGAGTTACTTCCATAATGGTATACTATACCTTCCACAACAGATGTATTCCGTCTTTGCGTATTGCAGAGTTATCTTCTCTTGTGAGCAGGTATTGATTGTTACGTCATTGGTTTGTGAGAGGAACGTCATCAATTTTTTAAAAAAGGACGTAATTTTCTCCAACAAACCAATGACGTAACAATCAATGCCTGCTCACAAGAGAAGATAACTTTGCAATACGCAAAGACGGAATTAAGCATACACATGTACTGTATATTAATGTCATTTTGGTGCATTAAGATACGTTGATGCATTAGGGAGTCTAACACAGCATGTATATGTATCGTTTCTTTAAAAATCATTAAACCAGTTGTTTAAGTTTTGATTTAGTTTATAAATATTTTCTGCATAGTACGTCCAATTGAAGGATTCCATAGGCACAATGCGACCTTCCTCAGTTATTTACAACACCTTTTGAAATGTTACCATATTAGTGACTTCTATCTTTGTGCTAAATTGTCCAAGTAAACAATATATTTTTGTTATTCTTAAAAGTGTTTAAGTGATGCAATGACCTCTTCTACTCTCACGTGAGGTTACTCTATAAATCACAAATAAAACATTGCATTTGGATTTTGCATCACGATGAAGAAACTAGTCCAATACAGGCATATACCTCTACGTGTCCTTCTTGAGAATGGACGCTAGGCGTGTTTGTAGTTTAAGCAACCGCAACAATGAAGATCAAATGATGACCTTGGTACTTTGTTTTGTAATTGGGCCACTCAAGGCAACTGTCCTAACCCAGACTTAAAAGAAGGACATACTAAGGCCATAAAATGATTCATAGGTGTCATGACCCTGCATCTCTCAAACCCGTTTGCTGTATGTTTTTCTTTAGGATTTAAAATCTCATTCTGAGCATTCTCCTGAATACCAAATCAGCCACCAACCGTGTTGGAAACAATCCTACAATCACGAAATAGAAAACCTAGTTGGTTTGGTTTGTAAAATGCATCGTCCTATTATAACTTAAGTCAATTAAGGACGTGCCCCCGTGTGTGTAATGCATACATATGTGCTAGAAACAGTGTGTAAGTGAATTTGGCTCCTTCCGATAATAAAATATATGATGTCAAGTTTTAGAGTGCTACCTCTAGGCAACAGGAACAGTACTAGAATTGGTCACAATTACTGACAACGGGGAAACCAGTAGCTGCTTTTATCCTAAATGCTGAATATTTAACAGTGAATATAATTCCAAACCCAGTTATGATAGATGCCTGATGTAAATTGTTCTCTTAAAGTATCTGTAATAAATTTGATTTGTAAACAAACTTTTGGTTTTGTTTTGTGCAACATTGTTTTGAATTTGAATGATTTAAGTTTGCAGATAACAGACACTTGTCTTAGTTGTATTGACAGTTTTCTATATACAGTTTAAGTTAATCGACGACAGACCGATATGAAAAAAGTCGATAAAACGTCAGAATAATTCGGACTACTTTCTAACATGCTTTCGAACACGTAAAAGTGGGATAATAGTTATGTTATGGATGATGTTGATTGGCTTAAAGTTTAATGGTTCTTAGGGAGGTCGTGGTAAATTACCTTTGGTCAAGTGGTTTGGCCATGCATATTTAACGAGCTGACCACGAGAGGTCAGCCTCGCCCTGCAATGTTTTAGACATTATCAGAGCGTGTAGATTGCCATCATTAACCCCGACCTCCACCATCGATTCGTATGAGTTGCAGTTCGTGAGCGGGGTTTCAATACATGTAACGTGGTTAATGATACCGGTCACATTCGTAAATATCTGTCTTATATTAACATGTGTTTACTATAGACATGTATAATGTGATAGAACAAACCAGTCTGTCATGTAGTTTATTCTAACTCGTCAAACAGTAAACACCGTGCAGATCATATTAATTAATATGACTGATGTAGCATCTGACAGACTCTAAGATAGAGTGAAGCCATAAAACTGAATGTTATCGTTATATATATCGGCACTTTATCATGGTAGGGATATGGCAACATAATAGGTAAAGATACATTGAAGGTACACAACACATATTACTGGCCTATTCAGGACCCCATGATATACAGTTATAGCTACATAATAGGGCGCCGATACATCAGGGTATTGTATATCGATGCACGTAGGGGTTATAGTAGACTGGCCACCAGCCCCTAAATTTTTATGATGAATTTATCGACTGCATTTTACTATTAGCTTATCTCCCCCCTAGTTTAGAACTTAGGAACTTCGGATCAGGTGATCAAAATTATTAGAGTTAAGTTTTTTCTTAATTATTTGATATTCTAGAGACGGTGGCCAGTCTAGGGTTATAGTAGACCAGGACTTGAGGTTTACAACACATATTCAATAGGCAATAAATAAAGCTAACAGCATCGTAGGTGTAATAAGGAGATCTGTTTTATATTTGAAAGAAAATTTGTTCTCAAATCTTTTTAAAGCGATAGTTCGACCTCATTTAGAGTATGCTGCAAATATTACATGCGTGCGACGACTTCGGGGATCGAACCCTGACCGCCTGCGTGGTAGACCGGAGATATGGACTACATGTTCCGACTTTGGTTGAAGAATTGTTCGATCTCGCTGCTCAAGTAAAAGTTGTGTTGAAGTACGATCATACAGCGCCTTATATGTAGACTTGTTTTTATGTTGATCACAATGAGTTTTAAACTATAATGATGTGGATATAGAGGCAGCAATGCCTGCGTCTACTAATATCCTATTAAATCCTATTAGGTAGACTAAAGCATGGGCTAACGGGGCTCATGGTCGGATCCAGTGTTCATGAAACATCCTCTCATGGGATCAAGTACAACAGGGGCTAACGGAGCTCATGGTGGTATTCAAGGTTCAGGAAACATCCTCTCTTGGGATAAATACAAAAAGGGGTAACGGTTGGATCACATTGTCAGTATTCCTGAAATCAGGAGTGACTACTTATTATGATTATATAAACACATTAGTTCAAGCTGCATCTATACAGTTTATAAATAGCATTTATCCGATCGTATCAAATTGAACTGATTGTTTTCAAAATGGTATTTACAGTTGACGAGGTCAAATCATTACTTGTTATTAAGCATATCTTCATTTTATCTGAGAATGTCATTATGCAAATATCTATCAGTCAGATACCCGTAAAAAGTCACAGAAACCACCAGACCCGTGCAGTATAGCACTGGATGTCGTTAGAGGCGACCAATGTCGAACAACCTGCAGAATCGCGGGTTTGTTTTGTATCCTCTACTTAGGGACACTGAAGAAGCTGACACTGATCTGCTGCTCCTATTGTAAAACTTTTTATAAATATCTTTTCTTTTTCTTTTTTCTTTTTCTTTTTTTTTCTTTTTTTTTTTCTTTTTTTTTTCTTTTTTTTTCGGCGGTGTCCCCTTGCGAAGACGTTAAAGCCCCAGCAAACAAAGAAAACAAAACATATCATATTACATATTAAGAAAACTTTTGTATTTGTTAGTTTTAATGTGACAGTTATAAGATCTTCATAGACAGGTCTATAATTTTACTTATACTTATTTAATTGAAGTCCAAGTGAGCAAACGACGTCCGTCCGAGTGAATAAATAACGTCCGTTCAAGTGAATAGATTACGTCCTTCCAGTGTATAAATTACGTCCGTCCTAGTGAAGAAATAACGTCCGGCCCGGTGAATAAATTACGTCCGTTCCAGCGAACAAACGACGTCCGTCTCAGTGAACACACTACGTTCGTCAAAATGAACACTGTACGTCCGGCGAATGTCCGACGTCAAATGGTCATAACGTCTACAACTAAACGCAGCTCTATTAGGAGGTTTTTTCCTCAAACGTCTATGCAACATTAGGGAATGGACATAGCATCGAAGTTTCAATGAGGTTATCACGATGACTTTGCAATTATAGGGGTACACAAAAGTAAATTACTCCAAAATACACAAAAAAAACTGTATTACTGATACATGTATTAAAATACTCAATAATAATATCGAGACAATAGTGTAAAATGGATATTGTTTTATTGTAATAAATAAAATATATATTGATCACAGGCTTTCAGATGAGCTTCCTGTAAGCTGATCGTCAAAGTAATAACTTTATGTAAACGTCGATGACCGATTGAGCCAGAGTCTCCCATGGTGTCGTTATACAGAACATTGACGACAAAAAGCAAAAACTTATATGAACAACACAGAACTCCTAAAACAATTTACTTAATATATAAATAAATATACAATAGAAACACACCTGATATGAAACATACTAAGTTAATACTTCCATATGTTTTTTATACTAACATCATATTACTATTACACAAAATAACTAGAAAAAGTGGGGTTATTTACACTGCTTCTCTTAAAACTAATTGCATGCTTAGTGACTATAGTGGACGGTGTTTCATGATGATTTACATACACAATGATCCATACGGACACAATGCACACGATTGTGATTCCAAATATACACTTTGATAAATATTGATGCTTTCTTGTGCATATGTAGATGATGATAAAAAAACCAAGACATGTTTTTTTTTGGGACAAATAAAAGAGGTATTATTTCTAATAACATATTTTATTTTGTTTTACGCAAAACAAGACAGTAATTTGCGCGGAACTTTTCAATTCCGTTTTTGTTTGTTTGTTTTTCAAATCTGAACACTGGTCACTCGCGGTCATTCGATCCAGTTATTGATTACTACACTTATAATCTGGTTCTCAAACAGAAAAGGTTCCTTATATTGTGTTATATGGTGACAATTATGACGTTCTGACAAGGTCCATACAATATAAATAAATCATTGTCGAAATATGGTACACACACGTTGTAGAAACAAAACATAATGAAACGTCCCAGGAATGTCATTTGCAACGTTACTACAACTTCGTTTACATGTTGTCCAAAGCACTGTACATAGACGGCTCGGGTTTCATTGCAGAACAAATCATGATGTTGTGTCACATCATTACTACACACTCACTGTAGGACGCTCTAAAGCATTATGGAGTTGCATTTTGGTGCGTTGTGCAAAGAACACATAAAATTCATGGCGTGGACATAACTGTAAAGTTACACCTTTTAGCGGACATAAATTTAAACGTATTATCGCATTTAAACAGATTAACGCATTGACAAATTGGCGCAACAAAATACCTGCAATGGGAAATTATATACATAAATTTCGATCAGCTCAGTCATAACCTAGCGCTATGTGTAAAGCGTGAAAGACGCTGAAATTAGAAACCCGCTAGAAAATGTACGTTTACAGTTACCTGTGGATTGTTACTTATGTATTACCATCACATTGCATATTTATACAATGTAGTTATGGGAGAAACAACAATATTGACCTTTAGAGTTATCAATCACATAGTCGTTTGTCCTAGAATATAGAGTATTTGCGATTCACAAGACTTCTTCTTATGATGCGCTTGTCTCCAAATATCCCGTCTAGTGTGTGATGCTCCGGAAGGTCGCTAACACGTTTAAGGTTTTTGGTTTCATCGATTTTGGCCTCGTCGTCAATAAGCATTTCCCTGTGGCTCTTACAACTCCAGTCCAGCTTTAGTTCATGAATCGTTCGTCTTATTTCTAAGAATTGGTGAGCCAGAGACTCGTCTTGTTCCTTCAGCTGATGCTGAAAACATTAATAGTAATGTATGTATGTCACCTGATCATTCGCTTTTACTCTACATACTTTTATGAACACAAACTAAATTGTATATATATTTTCATATAATATTCGTATTAATACAGAAACATTCAAAAGCTCTATATAAGTTGAGTCAGTGATGTTGTGATCCGAAAATACACCTGATTATGAAAAACAAAAATCGCTTAAAATAATTTCTTATGTATAACCTCATAAATTATGCCACACTTAGTATACACTTTATCTTTAAACGAACCCAATATGCAGAATACTATACAAACCTACCTAATATATAATATTCTGCAGTGAATTCATGTGTAATGCAATTTTCACGACTGTCTCATATGTTATACATTTTTCAAAACAGCTTCATATGCAGCATACCTTACAAAACAACCCCATATCTAGTATACCTTAAAAACAACCCCATATGTAGTATACCTCCTTACAAAACGACCCCATATGAAGTATACCTTACAAAATAACTCCATACGCAGTATACTTCTTCACAAAACAACCCCATATGTAGCATTCCTTACAATACAACTCCATATTTAGCATTCATTACAATACAACCCCTTATGTAGTATACCTTCTTACAAACGATCTCATTTTTAGTGTTCCTTACAAAACAACCCAATACTAAATCAATACCATATGTAGTGTGCCTCTTTAAAAATAACTTCATTTGTACGTAGTATACCATACAAAACAACCCATTATTTACATGTTGTCTATGTATGTTGTTTTTTTGTATGGCATACTTGTACTACCATACTAAACAAATCCATATGAAGTATACCTTGCCAAACAACCCTATAAGAAGTATTCTGTACAAAAAAACTTCATTTCTGGTGTACCTTTCAAAATTACACCGCATATAGTTTACCATACAGAACAAAGCCAATTATTGTATGCTTGACCATTTCTCGCAATCACATTTGCCGGATCCTATATAAGTGACAAGTTCTAAAAAACTCATGTAGACTGGTTATCCGGTGAATATCGATTTCTAAAGCCCATATGGAAATTCCCCGCAACCTGTCGTAGCGCATGCGCAGTTAGACCGGAACTCGATCTGTCAGACGACACCAAAATGACGGCTCGCCTCGGTCAATATCACTTTTTCAGGTTTATATCACATCATATTCCCAGGACAAAAGTCCATAATTGTATAATAAAGTAGCCCTGGCCACACGACCATGAATGTAGTATACTTTACAAAACTACTACGTACTGGTTATTTTATTTTTTGAAAGACATACAGAATAAATAATGGAATATGACAACGGCATTATTTCAACGCATAGGGGTACGCAATAATTTATTCTATCGAAAATTAATCCTTCGGTTTGCCAAGCTCTGCCTACTAGCTCGTCCGAGAGTAGACGGAACAGAACCAATTGAAACCTCGATATAATGACAATTTTATTATTGTAATGTAAAACTTAGATATAATGACCTCTTGTATCACTGTACAAAGAAACCTCAAATATTCACTCATCTATTTAACTGAGAAATAATAACTTTTAAAATGTTACTTAAAATCACACGAAGGTCTTCAACTACAACTACCAAACTATCTAACAAAAAATACAGTTAAAGTTATTAAATCATTTAAATGCAGATACAGCTGGCAGAATTTGTGTCGGGATTAAACGTGAAATGAAAGCTCATGCGTAACAAACCACCCTATCAATAACTGAGAATCAGTATACATACCAGCTCCTCCCGGACCCAGTCCATCGCCAGATTGATCGCTGCAACCCTTTCTTTTGTAAATACATCGGAATTCTGCCCGATGTTAATTTCTGGTTTCATCAGTAACGGTCGGCCTTTGGTATCTAGATTGTCCGCCCTCCACAGAGTGTAGCTGTCCCTTCTAGTGTTTAGACCCAGTCGGGCTGTTGTAGTCTTCACCAAAAACATCTCGTTCTTTCTTTTATCCTAAAAACATTGCAAGACAGCAGCTTAATTTAAATACAGCTGTATCATAAATCTACTTCCTTATTCAGTATTAATTTCTGAAATGCATTCAAATATTATTTAGTTTACTTATTAATAAAAAAAGCACTGTGTTTTTATGATCTATTATATTTCGTTGCGTAGTAAAATTCTATATTTTTATTACTATGATATTTGTTGCAAGAAACATTTTTTTCTTCCAGGCAGAACTCTGGGTTTTTTCTTCCGTTTTTTCATATCTCTCCCTCCCGTTTTCGTCTGTTTATGGACGTTTTGCGTAAAGACTGGTCTCTGTGTGCTGACATTGTTGTACATTGTTTTCTATGTCTGATCTAAGAATTTACCGTTATTTCCTGCATATTGCCAGCTCTGTTATATTGCCCGTACACCTCAAAAATCATGTTCAGACAAGAAAACTGCGGATAGCCCAATTTTTCAATGTAAAAGAATCGTATAGCCGGCAGGCCATGCACAGAAAATTACAAAGATATGCTAGATACGTATAGACAATATTTGATATTGTTCTCAATTTCAAGTTCTAAAAGCGAAAATATCCTGCAACAATCTTCTGTTTGAACGCATCAGCAAGTCGTATATCAAAGTATCGTTAAGACCCTTCAACAATCTATTGGCTTAATCACCTCAAACAATCCCTCAGCGATCTCTTGCATATAATATATAGGATAGGACCCCTAAGACTCAGTTATATGCCAACAATAATATCTTGCTAGCAATCATTACAAATCCTCCAACGATTATTAAGAGGCATCAAAGATTGTGTAACAATATCTTGACTAGGACTAATTATGAACCCTACAATAATACTTTGCAAGGGTATGATACAATTTCTGCATCAGTTTCTTGGCCCAGTTCCAAATCGTATAATTTTCACTTGTGAATGGATTATTAAACCCCAAAATCTGTTGATAGAGTACACTTAAGCCTAACGTACCTGGAAATATTTCAGCTGGTGGCCAAAAGGTGAGGGAGACGGCGTGTCAGTTCTATCCGTGTCGTCCATGTGATCAGGGGAACAAGAAAACAATGAAGCTGGCTTAGCGAATATACCGGAGAGGGAAATTGAGGAAATGTCTGACCCATCAGACATCCGGCGATTGGATATTGACGATTTTCGTGAGGATTGCAAGGAGCTATTATCTTTGATAATTGGAGATGCTGGTCGAGAAATGGCAGACGATCTTCTGGGAAAATCTCTACGCCCTTCGAATGTAGTTGACGACCTCCTGGACAGTGTATTTTCATTATATGATAATGACGATCGCCTTGATTGACGAAACTCTTTGTCAGCCGTTCTGTCAATTGACGTTCTCCTTGAATGTAGTTGTGATCCGTAAGGGGATGAACTGTAACAAAAACCAGTTAAATATTTCACTTGCTTTCGGACACTTCCCAGCTTTATAATGTAATATACCATAAACTGGTTTATTGACATTACTTGCAGAAAATCAGTTACACTCTTGATATTGTTTCTAAAAGTTCAATTATATAATGTAATTATATGACTTCAGCACTGATCATTTTGTCGTATTTTCCCCCCTCTTGTTTGTATGTTTATCTGGCATCTATGCCGCAATTTAGTGATTTTCTCATTAAGTCTCCATATCACTGATGAGATTCAGAAAAATATTAAAGCTCAAAAAGGTAACACGCAAGAAAAGAAAACATATAAACGAAATTTCTATCAATAGATATATTTATATATACATGTAAACATAGACAAACTCGGGCCCCCAGTTCACTGCAGACTTACCTTTCAGAAGATGATCCAAGAAGAAAGTCTGATATAGACAAGGAAGACAAAGAAGATATCGAGCAGCACGAGATCTTTTTCAAATCTTGTGGCATTTCACTTACAGGTGAAAAGGGACATGCAGTCTCACCCACGTCCAGCGAAACCGATGTACAAGAATCGGATCCAACAGGAGAAAAAACATCAGTTGAGTTCAACAGATAATCACTGTTTGTCTGAGACAGTAATGTGTCTGATATTTCATCCCATACCTCCGGCAGCAGCAGGTTATTGATGTGATCAGTCTGGGGTAACCCTTGTGTCCAGTTATTGATAAACATGGACTTCATCCTAGATTCTTTCGTTGGCAATTTGTTATTGTCTTTGTCAAAACATTGACTTCCAATAGAGGACACTGATTTAGAAAAATCCGTTTCACATCTGGTCTTTGATTCCTCTGACCCTAGTAGCACATTATCCGTGATAACATTAATACAACGATGAGGTGAATCCATAGAACCATTTAGATAATTGTTGTTCTCCGAGCTGCAGTTTGTTTTGTCTTTTCTGAATTTCCCGTATCCATCTGAACAATCAGTAGTGTCATCATGATCGTGAACTACGTCATGATAATCGTAAACTACGTTATCGAAAGTGTTACCTTTGTCATTATGGGTGTTAATTGCGTCAGTGTTTCGCCCCTGATTTCCCTTGAATGTGTGTAGGTTAGCGTCATTCCTATCACCTTCTATTTTGTGATTCTCTGTCGATGATCGACCGAATTCAAATATTTGCTGGCATTTCGGAAAACGATCGTTGTTGTTATTAATGTAATCAGTTGTAACAGTTGACTGCAAGACAATTCTGTTGATGGCAGGATTGGATTTAGAATGTTTACGGTAACTACGTAAACCATTCTCAAGATGTTTGCCACCGATATCACTATTCCCAGGAATGTTCTCCTTGCATCTGCAATATCCCATAGAATCAGGAACATCTGTAACCTCTCCTGTTTGACAGTCAGTTGAAATGTTGGCATCCTGATAAAGACTTTCCGGAAAATAGTCGGGATTGTCGTTTGTGATGATCGTCGAGTCTTCTCCTTTTCCATATGCCATTTCTGATACCAAGCACTCAAAATCAACTTCTGTCTTAAAACTTGAAGATGTCTCGATATTTCCGTATTTCACAGTCGTGTTGTCATCATATTCTGCCATACATGTCGAATCCTTTTCGGAGGTTGTGGACGGCATGTACCCGACTGTAATGTTGTTGTATTTTAGATGTTTCTCTGTGTTTGTATGTCTGAAACGAGCGTGTTTGTCGAAACAAAACCCGGAGTCGTGTATAATGTGGGCCTTCTGACTTACTGACGTCATAGCTGGTGACATCGATAATCCTTAATCTGTTTTACAAAAACCTGAAACGGAAACACCGATAAATATAGCTATAAAATAATGATATCATATTAACTACAATAACACCGTAAACCCACGTGTAAGTCAACGTATTAATTGACTGTAAAGGTCTTCCATTTGTGTACAAAGTGTAGACTGCGTAAGATTTATTACATATAGTACATAGCTAATTGTTTTAGCATATTACAAATGGTATGATAAATATCCATTGTATGATATGCGCAGTGGCTTTATTTATAACCGTGATAAAGCCGTTACTATATCAGTTGCAAACACGTGTTTCATGATTGCTGCAACTGATAATGTTATTTTACACTGTCCTGTATTCCGTCTTTGCATATTGCAGAGTTATCTTCTCTTGTGAGCAGGTATTGATTGTTTCGTCATTGGTTTGTGAGAGTAAAATCAGTAATTTTTGAGAAAATGACGTAATTTGCTCACTCAAACCAATGCCGTAACAATCAATACCTGCTCACAAGATAAGACAACTCTGCAATATGCAAAGACGGAATATAACAAATACTGTATGCATAATACTTTTTGTATTTTTCGATTTATGCGGAAAGACTATTTATATTCATATAGACAGCAGCAATATGAAAATTGGATTATACTAAAGTAATATGGAAAAATACACTGGAAACATTGTCAGTTAATCCTGGGTAAGAGTTGTGAGAAAAAAAAACACAGCATGTTAACAAACCCTCAGTTCTGAGTCCGATTACTACATTTTTAGATACACATCGTATGATCCTTTTATATAATTGCTTTTATTATTTGTCATTGACTTTCACCTCTATACATGTTATACCTGTCTAAATTTACCTGCATTTATCTACGATATATGGCGATAGGCGATATCAACCATTTGCTAGTGTTGAGCTAATACAGTTGTTTAGAAGCTGACCTTTCGAAAGCTGACACCTTTCTATATCAAACACCTTTCGCAAACTTTTACCTAAAAAAAACGAAAAAAAATGACATGTTGAATAGGGTAAGTAATTCAACCAAAGTTTGAATTGCTTCACTATCAGCATGTTATGATTATGTTTGTAACTGTTGTGTGTAACTATGATCTCTGTAAATCCTAGCATCGTATTTATTTTGGTTCAGTGTCAATAATACCGAAAATATCGAAAACGGCGAATTTATGACTGAGGTATTAAGTGGTTGACCCAACGAGCCAGCTAGAGACTGGATTTGAAAATATATGCAATATTAATAAGTATGGAATAGGCTAGTTAATGCATGGTCAATATAAAGGTCTATGTAACCCTAGCAAACAACCATACATGTATAGTTTGGGTATTAATAGCTCGGATTTAATAACACGACAAACGTGATGATATGAAACTTAGATTAGTTTTGTCTATGTTTGAAAACATCGAGAAACATTGAGAAACTTAGGACATGGTCGATGACTATACAAGTATCTCGACGGGTGTTCTGCAAAGCTCAGCAACGAATTTAATTTCTTCGTACCTCACACAAAGCGACACCAACATCATCCTTGCATACTAATCTATAAACAAATAAATATGAAAATGAACTACTAGGACTACCTGACTCCAGATATGTAACGATGTACAAAATTAATATATTGGTATTTGTGAAAAGAAAATTGTCGACAAAATGTGACCCTTTGCATTATCCTTGTACGGTAAGGTATGAAACAGTCATATAATTGATTTTTAATCAACGTATTTCGTTTATATAGTCTTCCCAAGTTTAAAGTAGGATTGATCTGCGTCAGACAGTTTGTTCATGTTCAAGCCGTACTTTTGTTCGAAAGTCTAATATTGCTTAGACTTGAAGTTGTACCAGTTGTTGGTATTTCAAAATTGTACAGGAAAAAACATTCATATAAATATTCATTGTTGTTATAGTTGTAGACAAAAATGTGGTAAAGAGTTATGGTTGTCATTCATTGAAGACAGTTTACTGTCTTGGTGTTGAATCAAGAGCCTTTTACTTATACCTGGTCATTTCTATCTTTTTATGTATATTTGCGTATTATTACATTTATATTTATTATGTATAGGTATATATCAATTATTTTTTAAAAGATATGATATCTGAATCGTAAAACTAAACTTAAGGGATTCTACCTCAGATCCGAAAGACGAGAATATTTCCAATGATTTCATATCATAAAATATGAACAAAAATAAAAATAAAATTACCTGGAATTCATTGCTTGGTTGGATCTAATCCAGTAGAATGAAGTTTATCTTCCCTCCGGAATATGGACACAATGCTATTCCTTGGGACGACCAGACTAAACTGTGTTACGAACTTGTTCTCTGCCCGAGATTAACGGATATAGAAATGTAATCGGTAGAACGACTCTTCAATACACATAAGTCCCCTTCAATATTATATATGCATTTATGCCAGAACTTGTATTTTGCACTGTGCACATAACCTCACTAGTGTTAATCAATGAATACGATATGCAGCAGTTTTTTATCATATGAATGGACAGAAATTGATATTTCATTGTGATAATGATCATTTCACTTCGACCTTTCTTCTATGAAATATTTCATGAATGGACAGAGACCCACATTACGTTACAGAGACCCACAATACGTTACAGAGTCCCTCATTACGTTACAGAGTCCCACAAAAACGTTAAAGAGACCCACAAAACATTACAGAGACCCACAAAACTTTACAGAGACCCACAAAACTTTACAGAGACCTACAAAACGTTACAGAGACCCACAAAACATTACAGAGACCCACAAAACATTACAGAGACCTACAAAACGTTACAGAGACCCACAAAATGTTACAGAGACCCACAAAACGTTACGGAGACCCACAAAGCATTACAGAGACCCATAAAACATTACAGAGACCCACATTACGTTACAGAGACCCACAAAACATTACAGAGACCCACATTACGTTACAGAGACCCACAAAACATTACAGAGACCTACAAAACATTACAGAGTCCCATAAAACATTACAGAGACCCACATTACGTTACAGACACCTACAAAACATTACAGAGACCCACAAAACATTACAGAGACCTACAAAATGTTACAGACACACACAACACATTACAGAGACCCACAAAACGTTACAGAGACCCACAACGTTACAGAGACCCACAAAACGTTACAGAGACCCACAAAACATTACAGAGACCTACAAAACGTTACAGAGACCCACAAAACGTTACAGAGACCTACAAAACATTACAGAGACCCACAAACCATTACAGAGACCTACAAAATGTTACAGACACCCACAAAACATTACAGAGACCCACAAAACATTACAGAGACCCACAAAACTTTACAGAGACCTACAAAATGTTACAAACACACACAACACATTACAGAGACCCACAAAGCATTACAGAGACCTACATAACGTTACAGAATCCCACATTACGTTACAGAGTCCCGCATTACGTTATAGAGTCCCACATTACGTTACAGAGTCCCACATTACGTTACAGAGACCCACAAAACTTTACAGAGACCTACAAAACATTACAGAGACCCACAAAACATTACAGAGACACACATTACGTTACAGAGACCCACAAAACATTACAGAGACCTACAAAACATAACAGAGTCCCATAAAACATTACAGAGACCCACATTACGTTACAGAGACCTACAAAACATTACAGAGACCCACAAAACTTTACAGGGCCCGCGGAACCAAATGATTTTCCATAGACGATAGTGTTAACGTTTACCCCTGTCCTGGTTAAATGGGGTTATCCACACTGGTTTACCTGACCTCATTTTGAAGAATAGCATCTCACACAACTGTAAAAAAAATATTTCAAAATTCTGCCAATTTGAACTTTTTTTATATGGGGGCTGCCATCTTGTATTGAATTCGGCACTAAAAATCGAACAAAATTTACAGCAAATTACACACTTAATAAACTCACCCAGACAAAACCAGACTTGAATTTTTTTTTTAATTTTTTTATACATATTAAATCTATATATATTGCTCAACCCACACATAAAACTTTTGAAACTTCTGCCACCTTAATATCCAACCAGCAGGCCCCGAGGCATTCACCTTTCTATTAAATCTTCTGCCCAAAAGGGAAAAACCCACAATCTATTTTTGATTTGGTTCCGTGGTCCCTATAGGATCCCACATATTTTTCAAATTTACCATTTTTGGAAACAGTCAGGACCATAGGGTATGAAACCAAAATGGGAAGTGGCTGGCTCCAAGGCTTGGGCTGCTAGGTCAAGTCTTCTACCGGTACTGAAGATGGAGATTCCTGCAAAAAAAGGCAGGAAAATTGAACCAGTTTCAAAATGTAAACTTGAATATCTTAATAAATATTATACTTAGACTTATGGTTTTGAGTTTTTATTAAAGTACAGGTACTGTTCTACCCAGAAATATAAACAACAAACATTTTGTCTGAAGATCAGGGGAGATAACTCAATTTTGAGACCCATACCCCCTTAATTTTGGACTTTTTGTAAAAAATTGAAGACACCAGCAATTATTTAGAGAAAAGAGTCAAAAACAGACACAAAAGTAAAGACTAATAACTGTACAAACAGTACAACACCACAATGATAGGATTACATAATGTTTACATAACAGCAGCTGAGATGAAAGACAGTGATAGGAGAGGACTGCACAAGGTGTAAGGGAGGTAATCGGGAAGTGCTGCTAAGGTGTGCATTGTGAGTGCAGGACCAAATCACTAGTGTGTGCAGGGAAGAAAAGAAATAACTTGCTAACAGACAACGTATACTTACCAAGTGATTTTAAGGTCAGCGGTGGAGAGGCAACTGTGTCAAAAATTCTGATGGAGAAAGTTAAGGCCTGTCTCG